TTTTGGTTTTAAACTAGAAAATGAGCTTCCAGAGAAATTTGAAGCTTATTTTTTGTGTACATGTTACTTATGATATAAATAGATTATATCTAAAATTTTATATCAATTGAGATTCTAACTTGGGAGAAATGGCAAAATTTGTTCTCAGGTGTCTAAAGTTTTGACTTTCAAAAATACTTGCTTAGGATTTGATGATATCATACAATTAGTAATAAATTTGTAGCTGAAAAATTATGTAATAATGTTTAAAGGTGTAAGTTCTATACTCCCAAATTTTAAGCTTATTTAAATAGCTAGATCTTTGGATATGAATTTTTAAACTTCAAGTTTATTGATTTATTATAAACATAGTTTTATAAATATTCAAAAAGAAATTTAAGAAGGTTTTGTGCATATTGAAGCTAACTTGAATGCAAAGAAGGACCTTCTGTCTATCCAAAGTAGACTCTTGCTTCAATAATGTTGCTTCTTTAAATAATGTTGAGCAGTGTGCTTAGGTTCTTCATAATATGAGTACAATTTTTTGTAATAGTGACAAGTCTTTTTTTGCTCAGTAAGAGTTTTGAAACATACAACATCAATTTGCATATCTTCTATTTCTGAATATATGTGCTGAAGAGGCATTGGTGTTGCTATTGAATTATAATAATATTGAGACCCACTTGTCTAACTCTCAGATCAAAATTTAAAAAGTCAATTGTCACACTTCATAGCAAAGTCAATTATTTGACTCAATATTTGAGGATCAGATAAGTTGAGCATCAATTTCTTTACTTCATATTGTAATCCATAGAAAAATTGGCTAATAAGTGTAACATCATTCTACTTAATATCAATTGTAAGTTGTCAAAATTGTAAAGCATATGATGTTACAGATTGATTGTCTTATCATAAAATATAGATCTTGTTGGTTGCAATATGAGTTGTATCATGTTCTTCATACTTAGATCAGAATTTTGCTAAAAAAGCCTCTAAATTATCCAATATTGAATCTTGTCGTTCAAAAAAAGATGAAAACTACAATAATGTTGAACTTGAAAGAAGTGTATGAATGAATCTAACTTGTGATCTTGGAGTTGGATAGCTTTGAGATTGAAGTTCAATCACAAGTTATACTTAATTAATAAATCCTCGCAACTTAGATCTTGTGCCATCAAACTTTTCAAGTAGGATAACTCTTAGTTTTCTAGTACTGAAAGGATATTCCATTGTAGGAGAAGGGACATGATTGAGTGCAAATGTTGAAGCAAGTCCAATTCTTCTTGTTCCTTTGTGGTAGTAAATTGAGTTGATACATTGCAAGTATTAACTCCTTCAATTGCTCTTGCACTTGTACCATTGCACTTTTCATTTCAACAAGCTTTGCCATGATAATATTTAAAAAATATATGTCTAATATCACTCAAAACAAGTAGAAGACAAGACTTGAGAACAAAGAAGATACTAAGAACAATATTAGTTTAGAAGAGGATAATCCGCAACTTCTATTACGCTTATGTCTTATTAAAAAAAAAAGATAATCTACTCTTAATTTAGAGAAGATAAAGCTCTAATATTGTAAGTATACTTTTGTCAATCTGTTAATGACATGAACTGGAAGAAGATGTATAAACGTGAAAAGTCTGTATTAAAAGAAAAATGAACAAATAATAATAAAGTAGTATGTATATTAACAAGAAACTAGAATGGCTATTGCCAAAAGGCAAAGTAACTAGAGACTCTTAAATCTAGACTACAAGCTAGAAAAGAGTTGACAAGAGTGAAGAAGGCTTTATTCTTGCTTCTATATATATTATCTAACTTACTTTTATTTAATCATATAGGTAATTATTGGTTAACATATGTATGTCTATGATATTGTTTTATAATAAATTAGTAGATCTTTTTATTTTTAATATTAAAAATAATAATTACATATTTTTATTTTAAATTAATTTATAATTTTAAAGTATTAAACACAATTATATGTACTTTAAGTACAATATGACTTTCTTATTGCATGACATTATTGAATATATATATATATATATATATATATATATATATATATATATATATATATATATATATTGATAATAATATTATATATAGAAATATTTTTAAAAAATTAATTTATCTTATTACACTTATTTTAAAGAAAAAATTCTACTTTATTAATTAAATTGACGTCTTTAAAAATTATCTATTTTAAAAAAATATTCTTTTTTTCTTTGAATGGATTTTATTTAAAATATTTTGATCTATAATTCTTTTGATTTTATTTCATTATTGTAGATTATTTTATCAAAATAAGATATTTTATGCTGTATATAAATAAATACTATTAATAAAAAATAACCAAATTTTTATCTTTGATAGTAATTATTGATATTATAGACTTCTAAATAATATAGTATTTGATCAAAGGCTTTAACTAATATTAATTATGTGGCATATATATATATATATATATATATATATATAACTTGCCTTGCAAGTTAAGATACATGTCTTACAAAGTCAACACATTTTGGAGATTTTATATGACACTACCATATAGCTTCTAGCTAAGAGTATACATTGAGGCAAGAATAAAGCCTTCTTCACTCTTATTAATGCTTTTTTAGTCCTTAGTCTTGTTTCAAGACTTTCTAGTCTTCTTGTCTATTGCAAGAGCTATTCTAGTTTAATATTATATCGTCTTTGAATGACTTTCAAGTTGTTTTCATTGACACAAGAGTATATTGAAGATTTCTTTTTTCAATCTTCATGTCCTTGATAGTAAATTAATAATAAATACAAATATTTTTAAAGATGATCGTACATACTAAATAGACAATAATCCTAAAATTTTGCTTGGAGATTGGCAAGTTACATTCTCCATCATTGATATTGATATTTCTAAGCCATGATCTCTTAATTTCATCTTTTTATTCAATTCAAAATTTGTATAATATTAAAAATCAAGTTAGCTATTTTTGAGCAAAATTGTATTTTAATTCAATGGCAAATTATCAGATATCTTAGAAATCCTCACGAGTCCTTTAAATCCTAATTTTTGACACCATAACCTACAAAAATCCTCATATGCTTCAATCTAACTGCTTAATTGACTTCAAATTTTTCATACATATTCAAAACAAGTACGAATACAAATTATCAAATTTTTACCTATAAACATGCTAAAAAATCCATAAAATCTTGAAATTTATAAAATTATTTTTATTTTTTAAAGTCTAAATTCATTGAGTATATTATTAACTTTGAAAATCTTTCAAAATCTCAATATTAATTCAAAACACATGAAACCAACTTTTAATAATTTCTTCTTAAGTTTGCTCTCAAATTCTACTCTTTGATTGATAAAAGAACTCTAGAGTCACTATAGATTCACGATTTTGTATCTTAGGATCTAATTTTGACCCATGTTGACAAGTGGTCTTCTCCAAGTATCAAGTTTTTGTAATTTAAGATAAGTTTTGCTTTAATCTATTGTTAATTCTCTCCTAAGCATGCCTATATCAATTTCTTATCTTATTTATTTTGATTTGGCTTATGTATGCCTCTATAAATAAATAGTTATCCATTCTATAAAAGACAACATTAAGATCAAATTTTTACTACCTTTTTATAATTTATCATTATTTTTCTACTACATATTTCTACTAGGCTCTTCTATGATAACATCTATATTTTTATTTTTGACCATGTAGTTCTGTTACCACATGACAACACAATGATGAAGCTTTTTCCGCTATCTTTGTCAGTGATTACATTGATTATAATGTGTTTTATTAATTTTGATGTCTCCTTCATTGCAACTCCAATCTTACTTGCACTTTGAGGTCTTTGTGGCTTTGTGGCTTGCACTTTGTTGATTTTCATGCAAGCATTGATTTATGGGCAACAACCATTTCTAAATAAATCTGTACATAAGACACATGATTAAATGACTTAACACAATTTTAGCTTTCTTGTGGTTAAACTTTAGGAGTAGTTCTTTAAACAAAATTATCTAATTTAGTACATCTTTTCCATGACAATGGCACAAATTCAACTTTTTCATACAATATGCAAGAACAATGGTCAAAGTAAGCATGTTCGCGTGTGCAAATTCACACGTGACCTCGAAATAGTGGTGAATTCAACATTTGGTGCCGGTGTGAACAGGGATTCGTTCCGAGGCGTTCCCATAGGGCGAACATGGGTTCCCCTGAGTGGGAGAGGCGGGCACGCTGCCCTTTGCTTTGGCTGCCCGGTTTGTCTCTGTCTTTACGTGGATGGCCTCATCCCAAAGGACACCATCCACCGTTTTGCGTCGCTCATGGATGAACAGAAGATGATGATTTGCAAAGCACGGATGAGCGACAAGTGGAAGCTGTGTGGATGAAATACAGCAAACCTGGATGAATAAGTTGACAACACTTCGATTTAAAGGATTGCAGTAGCAACCTGACAAAAAGTTGAAATTAAAGTTCTTAAATTCAACATTTTCCTGTATATATGACATGCATATATAAAGACGGAGGCTTTTAGCCATTCTCAACACAATCCAAGCCTTGAAAAGAGAGAATTACTTATCATTGTTGGGCTTTTGGACGACTTCCGGTAAAATATAGATGAAATAATGAGAACGTTCATTCATCCCCTCACAAGGCCCTACGACCAGTGACATGTCCAGTGGTGATTGAGAAACAGAAAGCATGTCTCGGGGCTGGAAAGGAAGGACCAGTGCGCTTTTACTTTTTTTTCATAGGGCACAAGGTTCTCAAGGAGGGGAACAGGGAACTAAGGTGGGCTTCTGGATAGGGAACAGAGAGGGCAAAAAGAAAGAGCACAATAACACCCTATTTGCCTCGCACTCACTCCCCCCCCCCCTCGCACCATCCAACCAATGGGGCATTCAGTTTGGTTCCCAGCATATGCCGCGTCGCCCTGCCACATGGGCACGGCCCATGTTTAGCCAGTAGGGTTCGAACACATGGCTGGTCTCCGTGATTTGGCACCAATCGGTTGCCATTCGCCCCCCGGAAGCAACTGCCGGAACGGGACCCCCGCAGTGAGGCAGGGCGGTGAAGCAATCACGAATTCGTCCCTGTGTCAATTCCCAGTCCCGTATTATCTTCGGTGTCTCTCTTTCCGATGTGCCTGCGTCGATCGATCGATCGCTCTCGGCGTGTTCGTCTAGTTCTGGAATTGTGTCTCGGCTTCTTTTGGGATGAAGATTGGCTGATGGTCCACCTTTCTGTGCGATGAGAGGAAGAAGCTTTCGAGTGTAGCTGTTGAAGGTTGAAGGTTGAAGGGCGTGATTGGTGTTGTGGTGTGGGAGAATCGAGTGAGCAATGTGCAGGAAGAGGGGGAGGGCGAGGGGAAGGTGAGAGTGAAGCTAGGTGCTGTGAGAAGTGGTGGCCGTGGCGACGGGTTGAGAGGTGGGGGGGAGGGGTAGAGGAGACGGAGAAAAGGGTAGTCAAATGCTCACTTCCATGCGACTGCGTCGTCAATTGTGGGTGCAGTTGAGGAGGAGTGGGGGGCAGGAGAATCTCCGGATTGCGTCGTTGTGGGTGCCCAGTTGGACTGGTCCTGGCGTTGTCGGGGATTCGTGTGCGAGTGCGCGGAGTAAGGCGTGGGGAGATGGGGCTGGGTTAGGGTTTAGGAGGAGTCAGTATGGGATTTCGTCGGAAGCTGGGGGTTCATCGCTGCCGCCCGTTTCGTCCAGTGCACCGCTGCAGAGTGGGTTGGGGAAGGAATTCGAGAATTCGCTTAACAGTGCGGCTACGTTGGGGCGAGGATTGCCAACACTTCTCAAAAGGGACGACGGGTATGGAGTAAAAAATGGGGCATTGTTCATGGCAGGGGCGGGCACAATTGCGCTTTTGTCAATATTTGCAGCATCTCCCGATGCATTGAACAGTTTTCCGGATGTCAAGCATCGGGTGGAATCGGGCTTTTCAGTTGTATGGAGTTCAAGTGCTGGAATTGGTCGGGAATTGATGAAGATGGCTGAGAGGGTGAAAGATGTCTCGGTTCGTTCGTTAGTGGACTTCGTGGAAGCGTTTGCCTCAATCTGGGTGCTGGCTCGATGTATAGCCGCAGTCTTGCTGTCAAGTGTGGACAATGCATCGTCTGAGGTGGCGACTTGGTGGCGGCCTCGTGTTGCGTCCTTCATTGCTGGTGATTCCTCTTCATCTCGTTCTGTTTTCAACGATTCCAATCTTCTTCTCTCTCATTCCCCACCAATGGCAATTGCGGTCCTCGTTCTGTTGTAGCCATTCATGGTCTTCAAGTGCTTCAAATCCTGAACACCAACAATTATTCTACTTCTTGGTAGCTACGAAAAATTCTCTACAGATTTATTGTGGAGCTGATTCCAAACACACACAAGGATCCAGAGTACCAATTCAGCTTACAGATGATCAACACTAAGCTGAGTGGATTTTGCTTGGATATCTGAAATATCTTTGATTTTAAATTTATTTCAGAGTCATCATTTCAGTATGCCGAGGTATGAATGCATCTGGCCTCTGAGATATCGGAATGTTGTTATAGATTTGGCAGCGCACGAGGCTCGGAGGAAAGCCATTCTGGTATCTGGAGATGGTATGGTGGTGGACTGGCTATTGAAGGCAGTTGGCGGTTCCAGGTGCGATATTCGATGACTTTTGGCACTTTTAATCTCTTGGTTTTGAGCTAAGGTCATTCCGCGGCTATGTGTGGCGTTTGACTTTATTAGTTTAGGATTTTGCCAAGAATGTTTGGGGTTGAATTTTTATGCATCCACCCGATTGATTTTTTCAATCGCTTCCAATCTTTACTATGCCGTATGTTAAATTCTCATGTCAATTTATTCTTGAGCTTTCTAATTGATTCTACATTAGGTTTCGCAATTGTGTTTCTTAGCTTGGCTTCCTTTATGTATAAGCTTCAATTTGCAAATCACTCTCACACTATCAATAGTGAATGATATTCAATCAACGTGTGAGCTAATTGTTTCACAAGTTCAGTTGGTCACATTTTTTATACATAGTTTCGATCAACCTAACAGTACGTAAACTGCAACTACCAAGGTTGACCTTTATTATGTATCGCAGGCCAGCCTGCCAGTTTACGCAGGCAGAGGCATCAAGAGCTCTTGCGTACCTTTTGTCAGATGTGAATACGTCAGAGAGTGTGCTAGGCAGGCCACATTCTTTGCCCTATCTGCTTCATTTTGCATCCTCTATACAAGTGAACGATGCTGTTGAGGTCTGTTCTGCACCGAGTCTTTTCCTCCACAGGTCTATGCTTTACAAGAAGAAAAAAATATCATCAGTGATTCTAATCTTGTTCTTCACTATCTAAAGATATAATAATTATCAAGGTGCACTTTTGGTTATTTTCTTGTGCAAGTGCAACTGACAACGTGCACTTGCAGAGCGTAAGTTCAGGAAGGAAAGGCGAAGGTACCCCGGAAGAGCGTGGTGTATCCAAAGGAAAGAGTCTGCTTGTAGCAGCTATCATGGATCTCGTTACGACGAGTTGTGAGATTGGGGATACAGCTACTGGTTTTCGGCCAATGCTTCCAGGTATAAACATTAAATTTACTTATCACTGTACATGCGAAATGCGCTTACTATGCTCAGTTTTCTGAAGTACTGTCTTTCTTACACAGGGAAAGCAGATCCAGCAGATGTGGCTGCTGTTTTGCAGGTGGTAGAACGCGGATGGCTCGTCGATGATGGAGAAGAGCATGGAGATGAAGGCGATAGCGACAGAGGTGGCATTGAAGGAATTGGGATTCGAGTGCTTGGAGGAACTGAAATTGTTGGTGTTCAAAGGACGGCAGCTAGTATTCGCCAGCAAACGCTTTATTCTTATTTAAACAAAATCATGACATCATTTACGGCGAGTGTATTCCCTATGGATGAATCTCTAATAAGTCATTTTGGTTGGTCTCATGGCCAAAATGGTGACCTCCATCGAGTTGAATATAATGGTAACGTTTCTGGGTTTGGTAGGAAGGCGCACAGCGATAGTTTGAGCAGTAGCTATGGTCTGTGGGATGATCTTCCGGGCAGGTTTGTGGCGGTGCCTTTGGCAGCCTGGGCTCTTGCTACATGGGCTCAGGCGTCTAATGAAAACCGGTCTACTATCAAAAGTATTGATAAGGAAGGTGACGCCTTGCTGGCTGCTGTAGTTGCACCAGAGAGATCTGTAAGGTGGCATGGTGCCACGGCTATGAAATACTTGCTCCAGAGTATGGATAATGACTGCCATGAAGTAGCTGCTCGGTGGAGTTCTGCACTTCTGGAGATGGCAGCTCAAGCTACCACTGACAAAGACATGCAATTGACATCCTCAGCTATGACATCTTTTGCAGCTTGCATCTCTCAGTGTCAGAGTATGTTTACTGACTTCAATCTTGATCGGTGATGTGCAGAGCCTCTACCTTAATAACTGTATGCTTATCATTTCATGTTTACATACTACAAACCAAGGCTGAGTGAACTGCGCGGCATACAGTTTATTGGTTCTTGTGCTAGTGTATTATGCACCAGATAATGTACTATCACTTGGCTGATGTATTGATTCTGCAGGTGCGCGTGTTTTGGCGATGGATAAAGGGTTTCCAACACTAAGAGAAATTGCCAAGTTAACAGAAAGGGACGAAAGCATACAAGGGGCGATTGCCCAGAGTCTTGATGTCCTAACAAGTTCGAGATCTGGACTTTCTGTAGATGAGAGTAAAAAGTGGTCGCCCATTCTCTTAAGATGGGTTTGCACTTATAAGCCAGACAGCCTGGCGAGGTCTTGTGGTTGCCGTATCTTGAACCGTGTTGTGAACAGCTTAGGACAGGATGGGATTCCTATATCACAGGCTTGGCTTGCTATGCTTCTTATGAATATTGTAAATGAGAGCAAACCCAAGCTTGGAAAAGCGAAAGGAGCATCAATTGTCGAAGCTAAGGAAAGATTACTTGTTCAGGCATGTCTTTTACTTTATTTATTTTCTCATTTTTGTTTGTTTGTTTTATCTACTTATTTGTTTCCTCCTCTCCTCCGTACATTGTGTGATTTTATTTAAAGTAGTCAATTTTTGTTTCGATCTAACTTTGGATAGAGGTAATATGTGCAAGGCATGGACTTGTGTTGAGTTGCATGATGGTGGTTAAATTGCAGTCTCAACTAGTTGTTCAGGCAGCAGCTGCCGCGGGGGATATTGCAAAAGTGGTTGCACGTGAGGCTGAAGCTTCAGCTGCCACGGAATTATCTGTGAAAGGTGTTGCTGAAAGCGCACGGGAACTGCCAATGGTGGGCTTTTTCCTTTCTCCTGTAGCGGGTCAAACAAAAGAAAGTCCACGAAAGGTCACAGCTCGCGAGGCAGCAAGTTGTACCCTGAAAGCTCTCAAAGCCTTGACGGAATTAATAGCGGAGGACCAGGTTTGTCAAATACAAGTAAAATCTGAGGCAACGTTCGAACGTTTTTAGTTCAAATGACTTAGATTATCTTTTGATTTTTGATGAAAATCTGCTTAGTCTGATTTACTGAACAGGGTGGCAGACGGCGAGTCCTGGAAGCTGGTGGTCTATGTCTATTGAGACGTCTTCTGCTTTGTGATGACTTCGATCAATGGGCGGCTGCGGAAGAAGTGGACTTCCTGAATCGTGATGCTTCAAATCAGGCTGCAAATGCAGGACAGCAAGAGAAACCACCTGCAGTGTCGCCGAGGGTAGAACCCATCTCTGGCATGACCATGCATATTAAGAAGCATGCTACGCGGCTGCTTGCTAGTTTGTCGTTGCACCCATCCGCTTGCGCCACAATAGCGAAAGATCCAGAGTGGTGTGCATGGTTGGCATCTTGTGCTCGAGGTCATACTTCTGACTACAAAGTGCGTAGTTACGCTCGGGCAGTTCTGCATCATGTCTCTCTAACGAAGGCAATGATGGAGGACATGACATCAGAATCCTCCGCATCTGAGAGGCAATCTAACTTAGGTGTTATTGAGGTCTCTGAGGAGAGTTTGGGTGAAATTTGGCCACGGTATGAGGATTCCATTTTTTTGATGAACCCTGATTCAATGTACTGGGGTGCACTATCGTCCAAGGATTATGTTGGCGCAAGCCGTGGCAATTATCTACATGAGCATGTTGAACTTCAGCATGATACAAGATACGGAGAGAGGGTGAGTCATCCAATCATTCGTGTGTCGAGTTGTCTCTTGATGAAGCCGCAAAAAGAATAATTGTGCATATACGGACACTAATCATGAGTAGTAAACACTCCTTTTATAACTTCCTATGTTATCATATATAACTTATTTCTATACGCAGGAGGACGATGGTGAACCTGTACTCGATGTTGTGTTCGTGCATGGTTTAATGGGGGGCCCGTACAGGACCTGGCACATTGCCGAGAATAAGAGTTCAACTACCAGTGGACTAGTGGAAAAAATCGATGAGGATGCTGGGAAGGCAGGAACTAGTTGGCCTGAGGACTGGCTTACCGAGGACCTCCCTGATTGCCGATTGTTGACAGTTAAGTATAAGGTAACCGCCTTACAATGTAGTACTTTTAGCGAGTAAAATATAATTTGTTGTTGAGAACGTTTGCCTAAGTGTTGAATTGCATGAGTTATTTATCTGCATGATAATGCAGCATACAGTCTGTTCTTTGGCTACGTACTTGTCAAGGGCAGTTTTTGCAGGAATTCTACGTTGTCTACGTTTCGACATTTTGTAAATAAATTAAGAGCTTCTTATTGTTGTCATTTATTTTATATATTGTTTTCCTGCTGGTAATTTAAGAACATTCATCGAATTTTGCTTTATTCTTGGGGTACCAGCGATTCACCTCAATGTATTCTGTGTTATAAACTATGTGTGGAAGGATAATTTGGTAATGTTCAATCCACGTTTATGTTAGTAGAATCTTCGCAAAAGGGCACAAGTTGTACTGATTATTCATTAACCCGATTTGAGTTACTTGTATCTTTAGGGGTTGACCGCTCAACATGAATTGTATGCAGACAAACTTAACCCAGTGGTCAGGAGCAACTCTTCCCTTGCAGGTAACATCTAGGTTCAATCCACAGCACTGAATTTCGTTCTTTATTTGCTTTGCAACTACCTTCCGTAGTAATCTTCTGTGAGCAATATTGTATGTTTTGTAATTCAATTTGGTGTTTACTACACTAACTGATTCCATTATGCATATGAAGCGTGAAAGTATCAATCCGTGCAATAGTTGATGCATTTTGCGAAAAGTAATATAATAATTTAATTTCAACCATTTTCACCAGTAATAAGTAGGTATGTGGTTGGTTGCAGTGGTAAGATTTGCTAAGTAAGAACCCGTTGCTATTAATGATGTGGCACTATGAACAATATATTGCAGAAAATTTGATATTGTGTGGTTTGCTGAGATACAGGAAGTAAGCTCGATGTTGCTTGATAAACTGGTTGCAGCAGGGGTTGGGAAGCGACCGGTGGTTTTTATCTCTCACAGGTGTTGTCTGTAAATCTTTGTCTATTGGCTCATGACCTTGTAGAACAAGTCAGAATTGGTTCTACATGTTGGGGTCGAAAACTTTCATGGATGTACGTTAACGTCCTTACAATTTTGATATTCTATGTGACACTTGTGCAGCATGGGTGGTCTGGTAGTGAAGCAGCTCTTGGTGCAAGCGAGTCAAGACGACAAACGCCATGACGAAAAGCGTGCTCAACTTTTGGAACAAACGTCTGGCATTGTTAGTTCAACCCTTGATATGTTTCAATTTTATTGCAATATCTTCGCTATTACGTGCGCAGGTTTTGACGACCACAAAGGTTTTAGCACAGCTAAAGTGTAACAGTTTGCATAACTTGACCTTGGTAGTTACATAACTACATTGTAGTTCTATAATCTGTCGTTAAATGTGCATGATCGGTACTTCTCTGGGTAACTTGACCTGAGCAAGCGCCTGTGATGACACCCTCAACTGCATTTGGAAAATTTGCATGTTATCTCCTGGATTGCTGTACAAGAACGTATAGTGTTACTCAGTGTCTATTTAACCGATTTTGCTAACGGTATTTTCGCTTATAAGCAGGTTTTCTACAGCTGTCCTCATTTTGGAAGCAAGCTTGCTGACGTGCCATGGAGGATTGGTTTAGTATTCCGACCAGCACCATCAGTAAGTACCCATCCAACATTCTCTCCCATCTTTGTCCTTTGTTCCTTGGGTTTGTATCTTTTCCGTATTATTTATTGACTAGGCTTTGTATTGATTGTTTGCAAATATTTCTGTCTGTGATAGATAGCAGAACTTAGGAGTGGTTCGCCTAAATTGGAAGAGCTAAATCGTTTCATCCGGCAGCTCCACGACAAGCGTGGTTTGAATGTCCTTAGTTTCAATGAGGTAAGCACATGGTTTATCTCTACATTATCATGACCTCGATTGTGTATTTGTGTAAATGTGGTTCATTGGCATAGAATTAGGGCAAGACTGATTTAAACTGTTTTCTCTTCTTAAGTGTGCCTTGATGCTGTGTGCAGACCAAAGTCACTCCTCTGATAGAAGGTTATGGAGGGTATGGGTTCCGCATGGAAGTCGTAACTAAAGATTCTGCGTACCCAGGATTTGGTGAACTGGTGGTAAGGCCCAGAAACTACTTTTTTTTTATCGCAGTCCGTCCTTCCTATATGCCTGCATCGTTGAAGCGCCTGTCTGGATTTTCATACGTCTTACAGAATCTAATTACACTCTTCAATTCTTTCCAGTAGTATGGCACACCATGCCCTCCTCTTTTAAAGAATTTGTGTTCCTGTTTGACAGTCATTGGAAGGCACTGATCACATCAACTCTTGCAAGCCTATATGTCGAACCGATCCTGCTTATACCAGAACTCTTGGCTTTCTTCAGAAGGTGATAGAGACAGCTCGGCAATCCAAGCGCGAACAGGAGTAGGCTAGAAGCAGTTGCATTTAATTCTCTTGTAAGCTCGTTTGTACATTGACTTGAGATAGATGAACCTTCTGCAAAGTATCATGGGCTCCGACTAAAAATGAGATAGAACAAGACGATTAAGAAATTTGAAGATAATTTATTCTTAAAATTATCATCTTTTCCGTTTGGTTCGGTTCCAAATAATTCTCACCCTGCATTGCTGGTATGGTTACATGGGTGGCAACTGCGTCGGCTGGAGTGTGTTTCAGTTATTTTAAATCATTGGTCCACCAGCATTGCCTCCCGCTATATTTTATCTTGTTCATTGGGCAAAGGATGCGATGCACAAGTACTCTCATGTGTATCCAAAGGTTAGTTTCTTACTTCGAGAACATGACGTGAATGTAATTTAAATACTCGTGTAGGAAGCAACAGTGCTGATATTTGACTGTTCCACTCCGTAAGCTCAGTCACGTAGACTTCCGTATAATCGAAGATGCAATCTTTTTTTGACGAATTCATGAAGAGTGATCCTACTGTAAATTTAGTCAGAAGTTTGCCTTGAGGATATTACTCATTTGTGCTGAATTATGGTAGTGCATGCAAGTACGTGATCAACGGTGAAGAATGTAGTTTTGTCTGGACAAATATTCCAAGGTTGGTGCCCTGCACCGCGTCCTAGCTTCTGGAACTGGAGAAACGCTTGCATTACATTATATGTCAGAGTTAAGCTCATTGGGCTGTCCTGTACAGAAACCTGTATCACCAAATATTAAGTGGAACCTACGTACAACCGTTGTTATACATATATATATATATATATATATCTGTATATGTGTGCGTGCGCGCTAGAACCTTACATGGGCTGCACCTCGATGAAGCTGCAATTGAACTCCCCTTGTGGTATGAATTTGAGCTTAATCAGACAATTAGACCAAAGTTCATTAAAATTTAAGAATGATAGAGTCTCAAAAATTGGATCTTTAAAGTCAATAAGGATTCCCACAATTCTGGGCAATTTGCCTCTTGTAATGAGGTGTTTTTTTTTTTTTTTGAGCTAATATTTGGTTTTATTTTGAACATTTTTTCAAATTTTGAAAGTAAGTAATTGGTGCAAAATGGAGCAATTAATGTTTGAAGATTAACATCAACGCTAGAGAAGAAAATGGTTGACACCTAAGCCAATTTGGTGTTTTTTTTTCTCAATTGGTCATTTCAATTCCCTTCAAATTTTGTGTGCTTCTTGTTAATTTAGTTTACAACATTTTAATCAAGATCAATAATTAATTTAATAATAATTTAGATTTTAAATTTATTGTAGGATTTGATTAAGATTCAATTAGGATTTACTTAGGATTTATTTAAGATTTATTTATTTATTTTTAAAATTTCTTTAGAATTGGTCAAGATTTCTTTAGGATTTCTTTATGATTGTTAAGGATTAATTAAGGTTTTTTTTTGGAGTCGATTAGAATGTAATAAGATAAGTATAGGGTTTTTCTAAGATGAATTAGATGTACCTCAACGCATTTAAGAATAGCTTTTATGAAAGAATCTCAGTTTACTTTTTGTTATTTTAATAGTTGATAGAATAAATTTCATTAGCAATTTTTCCTAATTAGCTGCAAAAATAATTCTATTAGCATAGAAAGGCCATGATAAAATTGAGGTAGATTAGGATAATAATTAATATACTTCACTATAGGATAAAATTGATGATAGAATCATGTTAAAAAATCCCTATCATATTTTGGATTGTTGTTAATGAGATGGTTGTTTATAAATCAAGGTCAAAATCAAACTTCTAATTACTAAAACAATTGTCTAGGACAAGATGGAAAAAAAAGAAGGGGAGGGGGGAGATAAGATGCATTTGGAAATTGGTAGGTAAGATTAGAAAGAAAATTTTAAGTTTATTTTTGAAGTAAAGACTAGTTTCTATTGGATTTGAGATAACTTTGAAAAGAATATTCAAAGTTTTAGTTTGTATTAGCAATTTGAGATTTATGCAATTAAAATTAGGATTAGTATTCTTACCTAATTTATGCAATCTATGCAACATTTGCAACTAAAATTTTATAAGTGTATGAAAAATTGTATACAATAAATGTATGAGAAATTTCATGTCATTGTAACAATGCTAATATGATATCCAAATATTTGATTGTAAGTACAATGATGTACTTGATATTGATAATTTGGAGTTGGTTAGAATTTTTGTTAAATCTGGAGATCTACGAATTGGAATAAGATGAAACTAATATGCAACTAAATGAATTTGAAGATTAAACTACATACCAAGTTTTAAGAGATGTTAATAGTAGAAGAAAGAAGAGTTGTTGGAAGTTCTACATCAACTTTTAAGTTGGTAGCTAAAAGACATTAGTGAAATTATTTAATATTTTTTTACAATTCTTAAGTTGGATTGGATAAAAAAGTTTTTGAGTATATAAAGAATTTATATTAGTATTATTATAAAAAAATTACACCAATTGGACGATGAAATTAGGAATTGCAATGTATTGAAGTTTTTTGTTATTATAATTAGGATTTGTAAGAAAAATTTAGAATTACAAAAAGATAAAAGTAACAAAAGAATTAATATTTTTACATGATTGAAGTTATTAAGAACAATTCTTTTGGGCACTTTACTTTGACATTAAATATTTTGAATTTTAAATTAGATTACATTGTTATTTATTAGCCAAAATCTATCAAAGTTCTTAATTAGTTGCAAAATAAAACTTTATTTTTGATACCTTAATGCCATGTGCATTTTCAAACAAGAAAACACATAATATAACAACACTCAAAGAAAAATGGCTAATCATCATAATTAATTAGAAGTAGCATAAATACACAACAAACAAACCTAAAAAATACCCATTTTCTATATTTTTAGACGATTGCTAATATTCTTGAAATCTTATATCTTATTTAAGCTAATCATCTTTTACATTCAACTTAACATTGTTTTCTTTTCTTATTTTTTGTACTATCAAGGTAAATTTTTGTTTATTTCAACTTATAACTATTATTGGTGTAAAATCTTTCCAATTAAGATTTTGATAAACTTATAGATTTTATAGAAAGCATTATTTTTGAGATAGTTTGAAGTTGGTGTTAAGTTTTAGTTTAACTTATTTGAAACTCTCTATAGTATATGTATATACAGTGACAAACAAAACCGAGTACAAAATGTGAAGTACCAACTTTCAAGAGCAATTACAGAAATTTCAATGATTGCTTTATAAATCTGATAGTTACAAGGAATAATACACACAGTCTTGTACACATGTACAAAGTTGCACATCAAATTGATAACTAAACATCCTTCTACAAAGTCAAATCAACAACTATGTCTTGTACTCAGTATTGTTCAAAGAAAATCTTCAAACTTCAATATTTAGTCCAATAACCTTTTGCTTCCAAAATAGCTGAAATCCTTCTTGGCATACTTTTGTATAGTTTCTTACAATCTTTTGCATCAAATCTAGGATAAATACTACAAACATTCTCCCACAATTCTTGAACACTTCTTGGCCTTGGAGTGACTTGGCTTAAACACTGTTTGAGAAGGGCCCAAAAATGTTCCATTGGATTCAAATCTGGAGATTGAGCTGGCCATCGAAGGAGTTGAAATGGCTGTGAAGAGAGCCAAAACTGAACACTTTTTGCCGTATGTTTGGGATCATTATCATGTTGAAAAACCACCTTAGTAGGATCTAAGTTGTAATTATGTGTGGTACTTTGCAAGTAGGTTTCTAAATTTTTTTTATACAAGCGTTGCTCCATTCTACCTTCAATTTGATACCAAGCACTCGGCCCAAAAGCAGTCATACAACCCCAAATCATAATTGAACCACCACCATGTTTGACAGTTTGACTAACATGTTTAGGTCCAGGTCGTTCTCCTTCTCTCAACCAACACCAAAACCTACCATCTGAATTGATTAGGTTAATCTTTGTCTCATCACTGAAAATAACCCGTCTCCAATCATCAACGGTCTAATTTTTGTATTTATGAGCAAAACTCAACCTTGCAAGAACACATCTTTTGGCAAGTAGAGACTTCTTTTGTTGCACACAAGCACCCAAACCAGCTTCTCTCAAACCACGCCTCAAGGTGATGTCTGAGAAGTGTTTACCTGTTTTTTTTCGAAGTTGTTTTGCAGCTGCACTTGCCATTTTGAGACAACTAGTAGTGACAAGGTGCACACCAAGTCGCTTCTCTTGCTCTCCTAAAACCTTTGGACGTCCTCCTCTTTGCTTTTCTATTTCACCACTAATCTCCCTCCTCAGATGAGCTACTGAAGACTGACTCATTCCAAGTGAGTCTGCAACTTTTCTTGTAGAAACACCACTCCTAAGCTGCACCAATGCTTGGTGCTTCAATGATTCACACAACCGAGGCATAGAGATACAATTGAAAAATCAACTTTCACTATAGATAGTACACAACAAGAGCAACACAACAAACAAAAAATGCCCTCAAATCTTGCAACAAGGAGTGTACATTGAAATTTCGAAATTCAACAAGAAGAAGCAACCAAAACTGAGTACGCACGTCTGTGTGCTTCTACAACACTTTTCTCATAAACCCTACCTCAAATGATAATGAGATTTTTCATCCATGTAGAGGATTGGATGAATACACACAATAAAAAAGTAATTCTATCAATTGACTTATGTGTCAGTTGGAAGGATCAATGAACTATGAGTGTTCAGATTTTGTACTCGGTTTTGTTTGTCACTGTATATATATATATATATATATATATATATCAAATAAAAAACTATAAAAATTAATAATAAAAAACTAAATTAATAAAAGACAAACAAAGCCAATTTTTTAAATAAAGGTTTTATGGAGTTAAATTTAAAATGTATGATGAATTAGCTACGACATATTAGGCTACTACTAGAATGAAAAAGTAATATTTTTATTTTTTAAGTGTGGCATTCAAAAGGCTATTTGTAGAAGTTGAGAGTCCATTTGGTAAAGTAAGTCTTTGCATTCTTCTATATCTATTGAATGTATTGAATATCTCTCACAGTCAACAAGCAGCTCTGTTATGAGGGATATTTGTTCTCACCTATGAGAGCTCAAATATTGGTATTCATTTTATTAATGTATATATATATATATATATACATACATAGAGAAATATTAAATAGACGCATGCTTTTATTAAATAGACACACTCTTGATGAAGAATATGGTAATCACAATAAATGTTGGTTTTTTATTGGTTATAGATTTTATATAGAAATGAATTTAAAGGCCATTTTTTCCATGATGGATGGATGGATTTTAGAAAAAACTTGGTTCTATTTAACATACACACACAGTATTGTAGTTCTATGTGCAGCTAGCAATAGGTGAAATAAAAATTTGCCCGGTCGAGTTTGTGTACATGACAAGATCCGGCGACCGTACAAACTCATTTCGGTGCAATGTGTGAGGGAACAAAGGTAACAGACGGTCTCGAGTGAGTGGCTTTACGTTGGTAAGGTCCGAAGTTGGGAGAAAAGAAAAGCAGGATGTTCAAAATTGCTGTAGACTGATTGCACGTCGAAGTATGACCAGATTGAATATCAATATTTCACAAAACGTTTTCAACATGGTGACTTCTAGAGAAACTGATACCTCTGATATGTTACTTGGGTGTTTGATTTTAACTGCGGTTGAGGAGATAACATATTAATCCACTTGCTTACCTGAGTGCAAGTCGAATTGTCAAGATCATAAGAATATGTTTTTCAGTGACTGTCCTGACAGATGAAGAGGAGATTAAGATCGCCCTGGTAGAGACAGGTGATGAAAACTTCGTTGCGTTTCGCTGCAATATTTGCTAATCAGGAGACAAATGAACATAATTCTCCAATTCCGAATTGTAGTTGCTCGACCACGGCGATCTCAGTCGATACAGCTCGAAGATGGAAGGACGAAGAGTAAGGTGACATAAAAGTCGAGAAAATAACGGACCTGTATGAGTCATCTCCGTGATTGGAATCATAGATGATGCTTCATTGATATTTCCATCCCCAGTTACCAACTTGTCTTTTGCACGAAAATGTTGTCGAATAAACAGCGTTTCTCTTCAGTAGTCTTTGAATATGTGGGCAGATCCATCCATTCAACAAAAGAGGGCATGAACCGCACCACTCTTCACAAGACCTGAAATTCTCAATTATGGCTCAAAAATAGTCTACAGTAGCTATTTAGCTTTCAAGGAATCGGACACCATGCATAGGAGTGCACAAGGATCCTTAATCAATTGGTCAGACCGTGCAAAGTCCTATGAATGTGATGGTAGTAACTCCAATGAAGAGTCCACTGGCAGCTGGGACAGAAATTAGATCCATATCTATGTCCATATTATTCTCCACCCTTTGCCACTCACACATTTCACTACAACGTCCATTCGGATAACTTCACATCCCAGCTTCCGTCTTCATCGACCCTGCTTTTAATCTGACTTCACACCTAGTTCATAATCACAATCTGCAACAGCTGAATCCCAACCGGCTTCAATCATCCAACCACAACTAAAAAAGAATACCATTCGACTTCTAACCCACCACCTTTGCTGGCTCTTGATCGAAAACCTCTCCATTCAACTCTACGGCATCAGTGCTGGCATTCGACAACAGGGACAAGACAATCACAGTCCCCGCTTCAGCTATGACGCCATGGTACCGCTCTCACAAAGCTCCATCCATGCATATTCTGAGGGGAGAAAGCGGATTTAACTTTCTTCTCTTAAATGAAAACACGTGCTTTCAAAAACTGTGCAGAAACGGTCACAGCTTTGACCATTTTGAAGTGCAAAGCTTGATGAGGTTGCGATTGTAAGTGACAAAAAACCTTTCACTTTATTTTTCTGATTTTAAGTAACTAAACTAGAGAGTAGTGTGGGCGACACACGAAAATGAAACATTCATGCTATGAGCATGCAAGTCATTCCAAAACTGTCTGAATCAATGCACGTCTTAAGCTGCGACGTTACTATAAATAAATATAAAGCTCCAAACAGGCTTGTGTCCCTTTATGTTATGCAGAACCGGAGATTCGAAATGGACAGCCACCATGTTCCCATCACAATGTAGATGGGGAAATACAGATAACAGGCTTAATTTGTGATAACCTCTAGCCCCTCATACCTTGGTTTGAGTTTCTAGCCTATCAAGGAGAACTGAGGACAGGAGAAGCGTAAAACATCAGCCTTTCATTTAAGATGATGGGGGTGGGGTCAGTAAATGCTCTAACTCCACTTTAGCGAATTGAGGTAGCGAAAATGCTGCCGCGTGCATCTACCATCAACATCACAGGATCAATTAGTTCCACAATTCTGACTACGATGACTGAGATTTTTTGCATTCTGATCAACCGATATCAACTAGCATACAGCAGTTTCAAGCCATCTATATCACGAGATTCAGTCCTTGAGACAGATTCTGAATAAGTGAAAAAAGTTCAAGGGAACTGCACTTCAATTTACACAGAATCTATTACGTCGAACAAGTAACAATTGAAGGGCAGAGACTACTGACCGCTGAATTATAGAACTTCATAGGACGCCTAGAAGATTTCTCGGGATCAATCGCTTGATCAATAGGGTTGCATGGCTCTAGGAAATTGACAGCAGGACCTGCCTTAGAGCAGAGCATGAACCCAATCAACCCACTGCATTTGCAACGAATCCAGATTAGTTCAGGATTACGCTCCCAAAGCAATTTAGAGATAGTCCTACGCTAATAATTTGAGATTCATCACTTTAAAAGAGGTGGAGCGGACTTAAATTCAAATAATCCAATCAACACCACAGGAGAAGCTTTGGCAACTCTCCTGCATGGTTAAGCTTACATGTTAACAGCAATAGCAAAAGCAGCATAGAAAGTTTTTGCACGAGTGACAGATTCACCTTGGATAGGTAGGAACACTAGTCCAAGCATAGTTGATGGAACCCTTGAAGGTATGACGGCAGGCTGACACAATATTTTTAATGATGGGCATGTGCACCCATAAACTCTCTGCTTGTGTACAAATAACACCGCCTGGTCGCAATGCTTGATCCAAAGTCCTGTAAAATGGCCTCTCAAATAATGCTTGAGCAGGGCCTACATCAACATATTTTCAATCAGAGAACATCCATCAAAAACATCAACCACATGTCTCACAAGTGAGAAGTAGTGAGTGTTGAATATATGGCAATGTCTATTTTCAATGTCGTTGAGAAGACTCACCCACGGGATCGGAAGAATCAACTATGATGGCATCATATGTTCCCTCTGGAACTTCTCTCAAGAATGCCACTCCTGCAATAAAAACGAGTTTCTTTTTGTTTCAGTTTTAGTTAACTCCACAAAAGAAAAGAGTCAACTTGTCATTATTCGCTTGACGACTAGAGAATACTTACAACTAGAATAATCTAAACTCAGTTGCCACTCATTGCGAATCATAGATACAGGCACACCTCCAATTAGCCAGTGATTAAATACTCCGTCAGATGTACAAGCTTTTTCATCTTAATTACATGGCTCTTCAATCCCAGCAACCACGGATTCTTGTACACATGTCACTATCCTTAGACATTGGGTTTACAGAGTCACATTACGATTGAGTTCAAGCGCCATTTGAGCCACTATTTAACACCTCGAGTCTCACATTCACAAGTCTAGTGAACTACATACTCAGAAATCAGCAGCTTCATCATACCATCCCCGATATGAAGGTTCACTCGAGGGTCTTCAAATCCTACAGCAACATCCGGAAAAAACTCTTTCGCAACCTGCAGAGAACCAGCTTCTTTTGAAAGGATTCCGCGCTCACAAGTCCTCGGTGTGAAAAACCTAACTTTTTATCTCCCATCATCTGCAAATTAATCTCCCATGATCTAAAAGAAAAGTAGTAAAAGATAGCCACGTATTCATCAGCAGGGAAATCTCAATACTCACGTCAACAACCATCTTATCAATCTCACAAATATCAATTTGATCAACAGACTTGTGCCGAGCGATCTCCCTCAGCACTCCTCCATCACCTCCACCAACCACTAGCACCTGTCTCCCGTCAAAAACAGCAGACAATGCAGTTTGAATTATGTGAGCCAGGACCGCAGGCTTAGCCATACCTATGATAACCATCAGCGGTCCAGTACAACTGAACTTGATTCACCTTTCTTAATTCCTTGTGTGTCGATTCCGGCACAAAGATTTGAGGTTCTAGATTTTCCCAAACACAAAGTACATAAAAAATGAGAATTCAGCTGACCACTTTTAAAGCTTGAGTTTGTATTTGCAAGCCATCATAACAAGATGAGTCGACAAATCTAATCGATACGAATTCGCATTATTCGCTACTCAAGAACTGAACTCCCAGGAGGAGGGATCCTTAGGTGTGTCCTCTAAAAATCAGCCACGACTAGAAGAGATGTTCAAAGAGGTCAAATGATGACACTCTAAAACCAAGAACAGTAAAAAAAAAGAAATGTTATATCACATCGAATTCTGTTGCAGAACGCTAACTAAATACATCCAGCGTTCGCAATCAGAACTTAAAAAAAATAAATCCTCTTGACGGTCTGAACTAGGTAACCACCCAACTTTCACAATTCTCAATTATTTCTCCACATCTATCTCATCCAAAACGAGTGTGAAGAGGGTTACCTTCTTAGGGTTAGGAATTGAGCAAAGAGGAAGATGAGTAATCATTTCTTGGTAAGCACATTCGTCGCGCTGAGTGAGCTGAATTACACCGTCCAGAACGAGAACCCTCCCATACGTAGCTGACTGAGGAAAATGCCAAAATTCAGGGAAAATTCATTAATCCCAGTGAAGTTTGTATGTCGCCTATCTTTCAAAACAATCGTTCTTAACAAGATGTCAAAAAAAGCCTTGAATTTTGACATTATATTTAGCATTGAAGCATCAAACAAGTGGAACAGAAACTGAAACTAGTACACAGAGTATGCATTATACATATCTTCTCAGGTATAATGAGATCAAAGCGTCGAATTCCATCTGATAAGCTTTGAACAACCCGACTCTGGGAAATCAAGAATTACCTCAAAAACAACAACGTCTTGATAGTCGGACTTGCCTTCGAATAGAACTTTCTCCACCTTCAAAGAATGAGCTTCCCCTACACCACATGAGAAAAGCAATCTCAAAGCTTGGGTGGGAAGACTGATTCGAAACTATCAGAAATCCCGCATCTGAAATGTATGGTTATCCTTATCAATATCACTCATTTCAGAAAATTTGTATCCCTGAATTCTCAGCGTGTCAATGTCAAAGATCACATGAATTTCAGCGCAGTTAACACTTGAGAAACAGGAAACGTTTACAGAGAATATTCTCTGTAAACCTCCTTGATGGTTTAGACCGATACTAGCCACCAGGACCACTTTCGTTATCCAATGCCACACTTCGATAACCAGGCGGACGACCCTCTCAATCGATGTCACATACAAGAATTCCTCCGTCGCACACGGAAATACAATGCATGGCCATTTCTATTCTTCTTCTTCTTCTTCGCCTTCTTTTCTTTTCCATTTCCATTTCCTTTTTCTTGCTTTTTCTCCTGAGGGGGGGGGGTTGCGAAATACATGTAAAAAAGTAGAATTAAGTACTTTACCACAGCACGCTCAGGAAATTACGAAATCGAAATTCAACACGTAAAAGAAGCTCTAAAAAACCATGTGACTAACTTGCTCGTCTCCTTACAACCCCGTTACTAACGAGAACAATGCAGGTATCCTTGAATGTAAACCGCAATGCCCTACCGCAATTCCAAATTCATGACATTAGTCGGGCAATGCGTAGACAGAACAGTCTCAGCTTACCTCCACACAGCAAGCCATGAAGACGGCAATAGTGCGCAGGAGGAAACAGTTACAGAAACAAGTAAGCGGAGGAATTAACTCCCAACACCATCGCTCGCGTACCAACGCCAAGACATAGGACCACAGCAAGGTACTACCATTCCACGACGACAGTAAGAACGTCACCAGTAAACTCCACGAACTCCGCAAACTAAACTCACCAGTAAACTCACCTGGCCACATGGCACTAATCTCCGAGAACCATCCCGGCACGATGCTGGACAAATTGGCGCGCGCTGTGGAGGGCGCGGGCGTCGCATTGGCTGACTGCGCAATGAGCTCCGCAGCATTGAGGCTGCTGCCTGCGGGCTTCTTCGCCGCTTGCTGCTGCTGCTCGCCTACGTCGGAGTTGTTGTGTCCTCCCATGGCTATGGCGTGGATGCGAAGAAGAGAGCAGGAGCGAGCAAGCAAATACCGTCGTGAGCTGAGGAGCAGCATGCCACGCTTTCCTTCTTCTTCACCTTCTACTACTAATTCTACTTCTTCTACTTCTATTACAAATACCTCTTCCAGCATCTCTCGCTCCCTCGATCCCACCATCCCCTCCTCCTTCTCCAACGTTGCCGTCGACGAAATCTCTCCGAAAACTTCGTTCGTTCCACCTTTCGTCCATCTTTCCACTATATCATCCTGTGGTGCGTCCGTTCGTTTGCTCCGTCGCTTTTTCGTTTATGGAATCTCGCTAGTCCCAGGAGAAAGGAAAAGGAATGGCGCCGATGTGTTCGTTTCTTTGTGTGTTTTGACATGTTGTGTATTTAGTTCTTGTTTGGTTTGTTTTTGTATTCTTTTCACTTTTTATATTCTTTCTTTTTAAATTTTATGTTATGTTTTATGTATGTATGCATGTATATTTAAAGGTATGATGGATGAAATATTCGAAAACTTTTGTTGTAGATAGTAAATTACAAAAGGAACAATTTGTGGTGCTTTGAATGAGTTCAACAGGTTACATAATAATCAAAACATGATTGTAGCATTTTTATTTTCTGCTTGCTTTAGAATAAATAAATAAATAAATAAATGGAAAATGATGTTGCAGATGATTTGATATTTTTGGTATTTGTCAGTGCAGGTTCTGTCTAAAAAGGTCTACTTGAAATTATCTACATGTAAAAAATTAAATAATTTTAAATAAAAACAAAAAAAAAAATGGATGCTTGTTTAATTGACATTGTGAAAGATATTGTTAACTGTAATTTTCAAAATAATTAACTTAAAATGCAGAGGAATATTAATTCAACCCTCCTTAACTTTAAATTAATCTACTAATTAATTTAAACTGCTTCACAATTTTAAAATGCTCCAAGGCTCCTCTTAACCAGCTTTGATTCATTTACAATGGAGGATTTTTTAATCTAAGTAACATATCTGTGAATTCAGGCAAACAACGTTAGACGTTCTCTAATATTTGATACACACTATTCACAACAATAAAAAAGAGCCTTGGGTGTTTGAACCTTCAAGTGTTTGTATTGCCATCAAACTAGGTCAATTTAAGATTTGGATGAGTTAATTTAATAATCTCTAAAATATAAATTTTATTCATACCTTGAAAGTGTAATATTCTTTCATTTTTTTATTTTTTTATTTTTTTATTTTTTTAAAATTTGGTAGTTGAATAGGTAATTTACAAAGAATGATAGGCTTGTTTATATAAAAATAGTAGAAAATTAATTTAAATTGTGATTTTCTCAATATTAAGTAAAATTATAATCAATTTATATATTTTTTGTTCTTCCCAAAGTAAAAAATTGATAGTTATTTAGAAATTTGTTCTATTTGCTATATATATATATATATATATATATATAAACTAATGATTAAATTCTTTTATTGATATTAAATCATATCAATTGAGATCCTTTCTTATTTTATTATAAAAGATTATCTTTATTTCTATATGAGCAATTCAAGGTTTTTGGAATTAGAATTGATATATTTTGTAACATTAAAATTATATATTTTTAATAAATTGAAAGCTAAACCAAATATTTAAATTTTTTTAATATTTTAATATGTATCTTTTATAACCTTGTTATTCTTAAGATGCATATTAGTAAAAATAATTGATACTCAGAGAATATAAAAGTCTCTATTTTTTTATATTTGCAACAAATTTTTGGTTTAGTATTACTAAAGGACATAAAATTTTTAGCATTTTTTAGAAATCCTAAAATTATATTTTGATGTTCTATTAAACATTATATGGAGTATATGTCCTTACAAATAAAATCATATTTTATTTGAAATTAATATATTATGAAGAAATAGTAGATTTATTTAATTTTAGCCAAAATCAAATTATTTTTACAAAATTTCAAGAGAAATATAAGATTTAAGATATTTAGAAGTTATTTCATTATATCATTGTTAAAAACAAATATGACCTTACTTTGTATTTATTTTTAAAAAATCAAAAAATAAAATAGAATGATGAAAATATATGAGAATGTTAAATAGATCCAAGTTTTTACTAAATATATCCACACATCCTAACCATTATAGAAAAAAATTAATGGTTTTTAGATTTACTTTTCTATTATTAGATTTGTAACTAATAAAAATCAACTATATTCATCATGATTACCATATTCTTTATTAAGAATGGATCTATTTAGTAAAAGCAAAGATCTATTTAACATTCTCCAAAATATAAATTATGAACTTTAAAAGGTAAAACATTAGAAAGATAATAAATGAAATTACTAAAGATAAATATATAACTTAAAATTCATACATAGAGGTTAGCAATAAGATTTTTTTAAATATTTATTCTTTTATTTTTAATTTAATGTAATATTTTTAAATTTATAAAATAATAAATCATGATAATTTTAAATTGGTAATAAAGTGAGCTAAATTTATTGTATTATAATAAATAAATAGTTCTAAGTAAAAATTTTATTGGTGCATATTGTTACATTATAAAATAATTTTGCATCAATTATATAAACATAAAGTAAATGTTCAAAATAAATTTATAAAAGAAAAATAATTTATTTATTTTAATTTTTAAAATATCCTATTTAATATTAAAATATAGATATTATATTTTAAGATTTAAAAATTAAATTATAAAACTTCAAAATAAGAATTAAAGCTCTTACACTTTTGGTTTTGGAATTTAATTTTTTTTTTTTAGAATTTTATAATAATCTTTAATAAATCATTTTAAAATTAAATAAAATTAAATTTACTATTTTTTTAATAAAAAAATAAAATTTATAATTTTAGGTTCAAATCTTATATGCAATATGACCTTATATTTTATATGCACACCGCTTTTTATTTACTTATGATTAGTAATAAAAATAGCAAGATTAAATTTAAGATATTAACAATTTTGTAGGTTATAAATGTAAATAAAAATTTGACTTTATACATGTTTGTAGGTCATTGATAGATTAAAAACTTAGGCAACAAGTTGGCCACGTGTTGCATATGGTTGGCCATGTGGTACATATGTAGAAAACTTGTCTTGCAAGTTAAACACATGTCTTGCAAATTGGACATGTGTTGGAGGTCCTATAGAATGTTATCATATAGCTCATACTTAGATAGTATGTACAGAGACAAGAACGAAGTCTTCTTTATTCTTAATAATGCTTTTCTTGGTCTTAATCTTTGAAATGTTATCCAAAGACTATCTTTCAATCCCACTTTTTAACCACCACTCTTCCTTCAAATATTATTTCATTCATTATTTATTATTCATTTTTATTATTGTTGAACAACAACACTTAATATATATGATACATTTATTTTCAAGAAGAATTTTGCAACTCATAAATCTTTTAGGGAGTATCAGAAATTTTTATTAAATATATTATATTATATTATATATATTATATAAAATTAAATTAAAAATATATAAATATATATATATTACATTAATACATAACATGTTAATAAAAAAATTGGAAAAAAATTGAATCATGAGTATTTCAATAATAATAAAAATATAGAATGTATATTATTTGAATAAAAAAATTAATAGAGTTTTAATTTAATGACAAAAAAATAGTTCCACTTTAAAATAATAGTCTTAAAATTTTAGTAATGCATAAAACATCTTAGTTTGAGTTTTGTACATATGTATATATACATATATAATTATAGATCTAAAATATTTCAATCGAATTCTATTATATTTTTTCACCAAAAATAATTATGTCATTAAATAAATTTTATGTAAGAGTATATAAAAGAGATATTTCAAAACAAGATGTATCTTACACATATTAAACTTTAATTCTAAGAATTAAAAAAATTATATAAAATTAATATGATATGTTGAATAATTAACCAATTCACTAATTATTTAATCTTATAAGTTTTTATTTAATCTTATCATGATAATTTTTTTACTTTTTTTAGAAGTATTAGCTCTAATTAAAATAAAATTATAAATAGTTGTAATAGAAGTCTTGCTAAAAAATATAAGACTAAATTTGTATTAATCATTAGAAATTCGAAAAAGATCAAAGTTACAAACATGTTTTGTAGCATTATAAGACATTTGTATAATATTAAAGAAAATAAAATAAAATTATTATATATATATATATATATATATATATATATATATATATATATATAAATACGTTAACATGCATATATGTTATTTAAATAATTTTAAAAGAATTAAATAAAATAATATAATTAAAGAAAAAATAAGATTTTATGTTTGCATATATACATAATATAAATCAAGTAAGTTTCTAGGCTATATTTAATATTTTTCTTCAAGTAATATATATAAGATTATAAGATATAATTCTTTTAAAATGGTAGCTTTTATGCATTTTATATTAAAAAATAAATTAAAAATTAAATATATAAATATATAAATATATATAGAAAAATTATGTTAATTTTTTGATAAAAATATTATATTTAAATCACACTATTAAATTATATTTACAATAGTGAAATATGTGAAAAATAAAAAACACAAAATATATTAAAACTTCATCAGTTTAGTAATATATGTAAATTATAAAAATATTATTAAAAAAACTATAATTCAGATACACTAAAAATTAAGATAATTAAGTGTAATATAGAAAATATTATTATATCTTTTATGTAAATATTTTTATATTTTTTAAAAATATTTTCAATTTATTCTAGACATATATAATTGTATTAGAAAAGGTAACATAATTAAAGTAATGAGGTATATTTAAATTAGTCTTTGATTATATTTTGATAATAGTTTATAAATTTTATTTTATTATAATTATGAAATTGAAAATATCATATTTACAAATATATATATATACATATATTAATGAATATATATATATATATATATATATATATATATATATATATTAATTTATATAATAATAGTCATTTAAGCATTTTATTTTTTATAATTTATAATATTAATAGAATATTTTTCTTCAAATAATAAATCAATTAACTATATAAGTAAAAAATCATATTAAACATTATTACGTTTTTAAAAATCTAATAGTTTTAGAAGCACCTTTATATATTT